GTCTGAGGTATTAGAAAGCATTATTTTCAGTGTCAATTAAACTGCGAGTTATGTTCAAAATCAACTTATTGACCATTTTGTTGATAAGAAATCTATCACGGAGCAAAACTAACTTTGCCTATGATCACATTTCCTCCAAACTTATTAGCAAATATTATCACTGAATATCACAATATCAACACTCTAATATTGTCACAATCAATTAATCCAAACACACCAGCCAATCCCCAATGGGCTCCATTAATCAAAGACCAGCTGCAGAGGAGGGCTACAGTGGTAACCCAACAACTCTTAACCCCCAAAACCAGCGCCACCACCCACGTCACCGCCTTCAATGGACTCCTTGTGCTGCACATAGGGCTCCACTGTGAAGCACGTCTGCGTGTCACAAAGAAATATTGATGTTAAACACTTCAAACATTCAGTTCGTTCCGCTTTAAACACTGGCTGTGTTGATTTTCGAAAACCCTGCAGTCACTGAGGTTTACCTTTCTACTGGAGCTATAAAAAAACGACTCACACACACAAGAAGAAACAGGGGCTAGGTCCAGTTTAGAGGTTAGAGAAGAAGCCCACAGACACTTACGGTGAGTCACTGAGCAACATTCTGGGAAATTTGCTAAAATCAGATCTCAAACATGTAGATTAGCATAAGTCGTGTTTGGGTCCAACCTATATTAGCATGCAGCTGGTCTTGTTCTGTCAAAACTAGAGTTTGGCAGCTTTTAAAATATCATGTTTACTCTTCATATCTTGTTTATTTACTTGTGCAGAAATAGAAATGCAAAAATGAGAGATGGTTTTAGCAGCTGCAAACTTTTTTTTTGCTATTTATGGGGTAAACTTCGGGAGGGTAAGCGTCTCGCACTGCGGCACGAAATCTCTTACCAAAATTCACATGCCATCTGAAGGTCGCTGCTTTTCATTTCCAGAAAACTTTCTGCTCTTCCTCATAATTACCACCATTGTCCTACAATGCAAGGCACAAAATGCAGAGATTTTTACCAAGGTTTTTTAAATAAATAAAGGTTAGGCACACAGACACAGTCTCAGTCTGTCCATCTGGGCCTCGGGAATAAACTTGCTCATTTGCTCTTTTTCCACTCCAGCCCAACCTCATGACACTGTGGAGGTCTGTGGGTAACACATTCAGGGATCCAGTTTAATGACTGAATGCCACTTCCATTTCAGGGGTTATACATTAGCAGCAGAAGGGCTGTTGCATATAGTGAGGGCTCTGAGAAGCCCTGTCTCTATTTAGTGCTGAGGCAGAAAGAAAAATTAATTGCAACTAAAACTGTTATTTATTTGAGTATTATATAGCAATAAACACATTTAATACTTCCTGCACAGTCTAACTGTAAAGCTTGTCATAGATTTGACATGTTTGACTCCGCTGCCTGCTGTCACTCACACATTTAACCGAGGAATAATCATAATAATGATAGCAGCACGTTCATGTTTACCAGTTAAAGTCTGAACAGTCTGTCTGAAGGAAATATCTGTTAAGTTCTCTGCCTTTTTTCCTTCATCTATCACATGGATCTCTTTTTATTCAATTCAGTTCAATTCAGTTTTATTCATAGCGCCAAATCACAACAACAGTTGCCTCAAGGTGCTTTGTATTGTAAGGTAAAGACCCTACAATAATACAGAGAAAACCCCAACAATCAGACAACCCCCTAGGAGCAAACACTTGGTGACAGTGGGAAGCAAAAACTCCCTTTTAACAGGAAGAAACCATTGGCAGAATCAGGCACATGAACAAATTTTCAGCATCACTCTGAAACAGTTGTTTTAGAGATATTGTGCAATTTTTTTTTTTTAAAAAGCAGTCCTATAACCTAACCTTATAACAATAACAATACAATAACCACCTTGTGTTTCTGCCCCGTCTTCAATGACAGCAGCAACAACAACAACAACAACAGCAATAGTGCAGGCAAGACGGAAGTTATGGTGTGCTCTCCTCCCAAGACGGTGCTACAAAAGTTGTTTTATTGTATTTTTGCAGTGGTTTGCAGTTGTCTGCAGTTTGTTTGGCAGGTACCTTTGTACAAATCAACTACTTTCAGAAGACTCTGAAGCAAAACCCATTTGTCAGTGTCCTAAAAGGAAAATATTCACTCACTATATCATCTACAAGCACCAGGTTCACAGTCCGAGGTGTATACTGACTGAACACCTGGAGGAAAATTACGGGCTGATGTGAAGCCAATCCATCATGTTATCCACTTGCAGTACAGTCACTGAAGCTTTACTGTTGCACATCAGTCCACCAGGAATGTAGTCTACTTCTAAAGTTTGGTTAACCGGTTAAAAATAAATCCTGCACCGACGACACTGTCTAATTTTACTGGCGTCCTAATCTTTCTAAAGATATTAAAATGCATTCACAGCACGTGATGCAGTGTTAAGAAGTTCTGACTTACAGAACAAATAATTTCATCAAACTGTCAACTTCAAAGCTTTAGTACTTAATGCTTCCAACATGTGATTTAAATAAGAAAATATTAGAGCCGAATTTGAGGGGGAACTCCAACTAAAGGATATTTCACGGTTTTAAACTGAAATATGCTTTCCAGGCAGCCCGCCAATACAAATTTTACATTTGTAAATGGAGTTGGGCGCTAATTCGTTCAACGCATTAACGACAGACGGGCTGGTGAATTCCACGAGCTTGTCTATGAAATAAAGTTTAAAAATGGAACAAAAAAAGAAAACAATGTTAATGGAAGCTCGAGCTTACCTCTCACCTTTGGGTCATCACAGGATTCACGGTGAGGGAAGTTATGCGGGCTCAGAGACAGATGCAGGACTCGCTGCAGACCCGCCGTCCACAGCTGTGCACTCTGCTGCAGCCCTGTGATGGCAGGGCGAGGCAGGCTCAGACCACTAGGGGCGCTGTGTGATAAACTGAGTGGTTTCAACGTTTAATACCGCAATAAGTGTGATTTGACAGGCGTCTTTATGGATGACGGAAAACAAAAAGAGGAAGAAAACAAGAAGAAGTTATGTTGCTTTTCACTCAGTCAATCAATACGGGCCATTCACTCAGGCCCGTATTGAGTCATTATGACTTCCCAGAGCCGATAGCCAATGTGAGTCTGTGACACTGTATTGCAGAACATTTTCTCCAGTAAGACAAACCTCGATTTTTAAAGAAACTTTACAAACTTTACAAAAAAAAGTGGATCCACTTAGTCAGAAAGGTTGTGCTAAAATTAGTCTTGGCTATGGATTGTCCAAGGGTTGCCTTCTCTTTCTTGATAGAAGGCATGTGCCACTTATTACTGGCACATGGATTAGCTCATTGAGAAAAAGAAAAATACAATCAAGAAAACACTGAGCAAAGCTTGGCTGCCACCTAGTGGGAGAACATTACGCAATCCCACTGCAAAACATAAACCTAATCATGTACTCTATGTAAACAATGACTGTAAAGGACTACAATTTGCATTTCAGATAAGATATGAATATTTCCAAAAGCCTCAAACACGTTTTTCAATTAAAATAATCAATTACGACCTCTGTATATTTAATTTTATTTAATTTTATATATATGTATGCACACGCACACACGTAGATATACATATTTACTATACATATTCAGTAATGTGCATACACTTTATATTTGTACATATATTTATTGTTATAATCCTCAGATTTACCCATTCATATATTTTGTTTGTTCTTACGTTATTGTATTGTATTTTGCACACCTCTGTTGCTTGTGAAGCTTGTACACAAGAATTTCACTCACATGTGCTGTACCAGTGTACCTGCACATGTGATGTGACAATAAAAGTGTTTTGATTTGATTTGATTTGAAAACATAAACACATAAAAACTCAGTCAGAAATAGAACGAGTTCAACATATAATACAGTTAATGTAAGATAAAAACAAATGAGACAATTTACCTTGCAATCTGTATTCTTCTGTATACACTATAAATATAAAAATGCAATTTTCAACCATAGTTTGGCTTTAAATCTAGAATTATTTCTTTCTTATCTATTTCTACTTGCAAGATGTGAATGCTTTTGGACTTGTAATGGTAGATGTTCAACATAAAAAAAAGCATGTGAGCATATGACATAACTAAATGAATGAATGAATGAATGTTGGGAAACATGACAGAACAAAAAACTAAACAACGACAAATCAGCCACAAATCTAATAGGGCAACAAGTGTATTGTTTTTCTGCCTCTTCTTCTTCTCATTCTTTATGATCTGCATATAATACTAATCATCATCATCATATTATAGCACTTTTTCTGAAATTACAACGTAATAAATAAAGCCTGAACCATAAAATTATTGCCAGAAAATTATTTATTTATGTATGGTATTTTTAAAAAACTGGACTGTTCCTTGAACCTTCTGACTAATAAAAAATGAATTAAATATTACTTTACATTTATGAGTTATAATCTGCATCTGGCATTGTTGTGCAATTTATTTAGGTTTTCGTGAAGAAGAAAAAAATCATACGGATTATCCACAGGTCTCAAAAACTCCTGTATGAACTATGATGCATTTGGCTTCATATGGTTAATTCTAACAATATGCAGTGACTGAGGAAGCATTAAGTTCAATTTCTTTTGTAAAATTACCAAATCATGCCATTTCTAAAGTCTTCACTCAAAGCTCTACTTCAATCTTGTTATTTAGAAAATAAAGGAGAATATATTCATCGTTCAGTCCTATCTAATCGCAGTTTTTAGTTTATGCAACTGAGTAAACCTGTTTGCTTTTTTAGCTGCGATAACGTGTTGATGAACTGTTGCTCTGATTGTTTCTATTTTCTTAGCCATGACGTAATAAACTCCCGCGCTTTAGTAATTCACCGGTAGCTAATAGAAACAACGCATTCACGTTCCCTGTGTCGATTTCAACCAATAGACACAGAGAGTGCGTGCCAGCCAATGGCGAGCGCATGCCTAAGGTCTTCGATCCAATGACCCCTGAGTAAGGTCGATAAAGCTAGCCAATAAGACGCTAGCAGCATTGTGTGACCGAGGCAGGGTCTGCCGGGTTCATTTCGCCGCTCCTCCACCCGGCTGCTCTTTTTGGATCTCACTGCAATGGCGGAACAGCAGCAGTTCTACCTCTTGCTGGGTAACTTGATGAGCCCTGACAACAACGTCAGGAAACAGGCAGAGGTAAGAAGAGGAAAAAAACAGTTTTTAGTGGCTGACAAGTTCGGCGAATGCTGGAAGTCGTGTGGCCAAGTTAGCAGAAGCTAACCACTTAGCTGTCCAGCCTGGCCGCGCGCAGGCTCTCACGTCAAGCTCGGTAGCCCACGTGCGCTGTGAAGCCGAGTACTAGTCAGCTAACGCTAACTACCACCATGTTGCGTAGTTATACGTGGACATAATTTCGATGTCACAGATACCAGCGCTGTCGTGACACTATGTAGCCGTACGTGTCTCGGCAAAGCTCGGGCTGTTCGGTAAATAGTGAACGGACCCGTTTGTCGGAACCAGCCTCCAAACCTCCAGCTGACAGTGGCGCCTGTAGAGTACAGGAAGTAGCAGCAAGCTAATGAGCTACCCACAGTGCTGCTAGGTTTGTTAGCTAGCACGCTAGGGCTCAGCACATTGGCTTGCTAAAATATTAAAGCGGAATATTGAGACTGAACGTGGCACATATGCTGAGTTACTGCTGCGGTGATAAACAAACCATCAAAGGGATAGGCTGTAGATGGTGAGGTAGCTCATTCAAAGGGGCGAGTACTTATGCAATGGCCTCCGGTCGTGTTAACTAAAAGTCAAGTCTTAACCAGACAGTTTTAAACTAGCTGCCGTGTTTCCCTTCGTGAAGCTGATCATCTCAGTTTCAGACACGTCAGTAGCTAGGCTCGTCTCCCCGGATTAGTTTCTCTCAGAGGATTTGTTTAGGCTGTGTCTAGCTCGCCTATTCACTCTCCCCCCTCACAACCACCATTATTAGCCTCTTGTCGCCGCAGAGCATTGTTACCAGCGTCCCCCTCCCTCTCCGGCACCCCGACTTTTGGATGAGGTGGTTGAATCTTATCACACACCACCTCTATCTACCAGTCAGCGTTTTTCTTTGATGAACTCAGACTGTCTGCCGGGATGCTAAGCTCATTGGAATTCATCCTTTATAGGAACTCCTCCCGTTCTGTTTTACTCACATAATAGGAATTGATCCACCTGTATGGGACCTAAACTCACATTTTAACAGTTGAAAGATACAGTTAGTCACCATTTTTTTTTTTGTAGTTAATCCCATCACTGCTTCATCCAAGTGGTGGTATTGTGAGAAGCCATGAAGTGCATTTGAATTTGTGTGGCAACCAAATTCATTTAGGCTTTAGGTGGACAAATGGATTAGTGCAGTAGTTCAAGTCAGGTTATAGGAGGAGTGGACTTTGCAGATTGATTTGCAGGTAATTCAAGGGTTGCTCAACCTGAGCGCTTGGTCATTCTGATTCTAATTGTTTGGGATTTGATTTCAGCCCAGCCGTTGGCACATCTGTGCTCCTCCCTGTCTCGTTTTGTCAGCTCAGGAATCATTGAAGGTGGCTCTCCTGTGCAGTTGTGTTAAGAGTTTGTACTCAATCCTTCCATATGATGGGGATGCTGAAATGCATGCACATAGTGACTTTTACCAGAGCGCACACCAGAGGTTTCACTGTATCCCTGTGGAGTCTCATTTAACTTGGGGAAACCAGCATAACAGTGGTAAAATAAATGGGTGGCTCTTATGTATGAGCCCATTAGGGCTCATGTTCAGTTTATATACATATTCAGTACACTTGCACAAATGTCACACTTTTACTGCTCATTAAAATACTGATTATCTTTATAGCAAATATCAGTGATGTACAGGGTTTTTCCTGGCTCAGAACTGGACATTTGGGGTATGATTATGCAAAGAAACACAATGTGAGTTGAGGCAGAGTGTGTTACCTTACCTGACAGATGTCTATGTATTTTTCTGTTTTTTTGTTGTTGTTGTTTTTTTACTGTTTTTATAAGGAAAATATATTCATGCTTCTGTAGCTTAACCCTCAGTAAAAATGGGAAGTCCTGCCCTTATATTTCAGGAAATCCCTGATATGACCTCACTGGACAGTCCTTATTATTTTGACCACAGCATTTGTTTAAGCTTGAGTGTTTTGTTTTTGGTTTTTTTGGGGGGGAGGCGTGTTTCTTTAACTGCAGTAAAGGGAACATGATGCTGTATTAGCAGTAGAAATTCATGTTGTGCACGGCCTGTCTGATCCTAACCGCGGTGTTTTCATTTTCTTTTCAGGAGACCTACGACAATATTCCAGGCCAGAATAAGATCACATTCTTGCTACAAGCTGTCAGAGATGCGTCTGCTGCAGAGGAGGTTTGTACACGGATTGTGACCATATCTGTGGCATGACATGGTGAATTCTTTCAGCCTGAAGCAGGGGGACTGCAAAAACTTGGCCACTTAAGAGCCCATCTGAGACATTTATGATCTGCTGTATTGTGCTCAATGAAGTCTTGACACACCCAAAAGAGACAATTTAGGCCAAAGGTCAGACAAAGTTGACGTAATTCTTTCACCTTTAAAATCTTAAGTTGTCAACAAATGTTGTGTGTGAAATTTGTTTTTTACTCGTTCACATCTCCGTGGGTTTTTCAGGTGCTGTGTCACAGTTCATATGAGACATTACATGCTAAATAAATGGATGACGTGCATTTTTGCCATATATGAATAATGTACTGAGTGGGTTTTAATACATACAATAACTTGGAAAAACATCATCCAAAGTAATCAGGGATGCGCTCCAGCCTCTCTGTCAGAATCTAATAAAAGGATGGTGAAATATTAAATCCAAATATTCTAGCAGTGTTATTTATTTTTTTTTAAAATAAGCTCCTCATAATCTTGTCAAAGGGATACTTTGCATTATACTGAGTGTAGTAATTGTTACCCATTCAGACAGCAGTACACATGGGAAAGAGTGATGCAATGCGTGACACTGAAGCCTGCAATACCTTTTGTCTCTAAAAGGTGCAACATTGCTGGCATTTCAAGTATGTAGTCCGGCTATCACATGTGAGGCCTCGACGCTGCCTGACTACGGCTTGTTGTGAGTCACAGTTCTGGCATTCAGGCAGTCATGTTTACTCTGAATCCACCAGCTGCTTGGGCCCTCATGCTTCCTCTGCTTTACTTTACCTCAAGGCTGATATTTTTAGAGGCTTGAAATGGGAGCAGGCAGAGAGGTGCTTGGCCCAGGGAGAGTGACTCTGCCATTCTAAGACACTCGGTCTGGTTTTATTTTTTATTCCCCTTAATGACCACTCACTCTAAAGGTTTTGGTTTACCAAACGGGTAACATGTTTTTGCAGAAGGAAGCGATTTGTTTCACAACACTTGTTAATGAGAGAGCATAAACTATCAAACTAGCTGGTCCAGTAAGCCAACTGCCCAACTAAACTGAAAAAGGCCCGTGTATAGCATCCTGCTATGCGATTGCATTTGTCCCTGACCACCAGAATCC